AAAAACTTGTAACTTTAATAAATGTAATTATAATTATAGTATGAAAAAATAAACTGCTCTAAAATGTTATCTTTATTAATGTTAAACATTGAAAATTTGGTATTAATTAACATAATTTCATGAGAAATATGTTTTATTAAAATAGATTGTAATTTGTTTTTCAGGAATATGGATTTAGAAGACCTTTACCACAAATATCGTATTCGATTAAAACAATCACTTTTTACAACATTTGCTTCTATTGGATTTACTGTATGCACCATCACTTTAACCGTGTTAATCTTATTTTATAACGTGAGTATGAAAAAAAAATATATATATATATATATATATATTGTATACCTATCTAAATGTAACGTTCAAAATACATCAATTTAACCAAAGATACTATAAAAATTACAAAAACATAAATATTATTAGGTACAGCCGTACAGATAATACATATTGTAACCAATGTGTACTATTTTATATACCATATAATTCAGCTTGTACTTGACCTTTTTTACAATTTTAAACTTAAAAATTAATTAAATAAAGTTAAATATGAACCRAGATTAACATAGAGCAAGATGTTTTAAAAATACTTTACAATCATATTTTTATTTATTGTTTTAATTCGTTAAACATAAATAAATTGCAGTTCAATTTATAATACATTACCTATAYGTATTCTGAATTATAATATGTTATGTACAAACAAAAAAAAGTAGACAACTGTGCAATAAATTATAACGGTGCCTAATAATATATTGGAAATGCCTATGCGATATAAACAGTAAACACGTATCATTATAATTTCGTATTACAGAATTTTAAGGATAAACTATTATAATATGTTTGTCAAACGAAGTGGAAAACAAATGTTATTTTTAATTTATATTCTAACTAAGTCTTTTGGTGAAAACTTTCATGGTAGAACTATCATGCTGTATTTAAATGTTATTGAAAAACACGATTTCACCACAATATTGGTCCTGAATTTCATTAAAGTTGAAGGTTTTGTTATGTTTTGGTAATGTGTATGTACTGA